TGTGTTCATCCAGCTCTACACCTTGTTATCACAGATTTTCCAGCATCGGCAGTTCCTACTATCTCTAGACATACTTGTGTTGCAGTGCAGAAATCCTGCTGATTGTAGTCATATCAGGCTGAGCATGAGCTACAAGTGAGACAAGAGGAGCAGACTGAGGGATGATCACACCTCAAGGGGAATTCCAAAATTTAACCAACTCACGCCGATTACTCTTCAGAGTGTTTCAGAGAGAGAACCTTCAGCCCTGATTTCAGCTTGAACACAAGAAGCTACGAAATGTGGAAGCTATTCGGTCTCTCCTCCCTCCCCACATTCAAAGCAGCCAGCAGATGAGCAGACCTGCACAAATTCCCTGCGCATTTGTCCCCCACACCCCACCATGGACAAGCAGGAATACGCCCTCACATCCACCAACTAGCCATCAGCGTTCAGGAAGGAGGCTGCAGATCTCAAGAATTTCCCTTTTATGGGTTCTGTGCTCTCAAAGAATTTGAGAAACCTGATTGTTCATTGATCAGAGCTAACGAGAAATAATAGACGGGCAGTTTACCAAACGGTGAGCTGGCGTCAGTCAGAGATATGCATAGAGCTGGCTCAGCCTGTCATTTCATATCAGCACCATCTTTTTATCCATGCCATTCTCCGTTTCCAGTCATAAACATAATAACCAGGCATAATTTCCACCTTGGACAGAATGGCAATGGAAGTATTTCACTGGTTGGTTCAGCAATTGTATTTTCAGTGAAATTCTGGGCTCCTAGTAAGTAGGATCAAAGTTGAAACTGCTCCAAACTGGCACCTCAGTCTGGGACAGACTCAAACCCCAGTTAAGGAAATGCCAGACCAGGGCCAAGCCACGACCATGCGCAATGCTGTCTTTTTAATTAAGTGGCAAAAGTGAAGCTACAGGGACACGGGTGGCCGTATCAAAATGGTTTCAAGAGATCAAGGTCATTGCAGAATGCACTTCGCCTCGACTTCCCCTCAGTTCTCAGTTTCCTGCCTTGGAAAGTTCACTGAGCCCAGACGAAGACAAGCTGCCCTATCCTTAACCAATCACCTTTTGTCAATCCTTTGCAAAACATGTCTCTCCTGTTGTTGTGACCTGAAGTAATTTATTCCGTCTCCCAGTGGTACCGCTCTCCAAGTGGGCCAAGTTGTTAAAAAGGCCATCTTCCCCACTGAAGTTCTTCAAATGAGTAAAACTGAAGCAACTCGTACATTCTTCTGCCTTGTCCTATCCCTTCACCATTCCACCTCAGTAACCCCTCTTAAACAGTGCCTAATCCCAATTCTGAATTAAGGCTCTTAACTTCAGCATACGGTCTGATGATCCTTCAAGATTGCTGGAGCCAAAAAGTTCTAACCCTCTCTCCTGCGAGCATGACTGGTCATTCACCAATTCCGCCACGTCCACCAAACAATGTAGCAGGAGGAGAACAAACTATTCTTTCAGAAACAAACTGGTGATGGAGTAAAGGGTGGAAAGGGTGAGTACAAACACCAGCAGGACAATAATAACTTGAAACATGTCTGTCTAATTTGACCAGATGCTAAGCATCACATGTGAGGCTGCACACACGGGGAATGTATGGTAGGTCTGTCTTTGCTCCTCCAGTGTCTGCAGTCCGCTGCTCAGACGTGTGCCCAACCTGCTTTACACAACAACAGCAGTTGTGCACTGCCTTTGGTTGTTAACTCCCTTTCGTGGCAACGAGCTGGCCGAATGCTGTGAACTGGCCTGCATTTGAGTCAGAGACAGGAGCTGGGCAGCAAAAACAGAGAGATATTACTTGGGCTCTTGACAGAGGGATGACTATCACAGTCTCCCTTGGCTATTCACCTTCACTCTATGTTCCATCATGCAGTCAGTTGAAGGGCCTGTTCTTTGAGAGTTTTTACCCTCGCTTTCCTGCCCAAACTCCGTGATGGGTAACTACATTGTAAAGATCTGGCACGGTGCAGTCGATCCTCTCAGTCTTCCCAAGGAATGGACAGCTCTCTGCTACCCCCACCCCAGCTCTCACTGACCTCCCACTTACAAGGGTGCTGTTGTCCTGCTCTTGTCTGCATGTTCTCTGGGCAAGGCAAGGGAAGGCTGCTGGATCCTGTCTAAAACCTATCCCAGTGACCAGCGAACAGTGACACAAACAGAAATCCCACTTGTTGTGCACCGAATCTACCCTGCCCTTTCTGGAATATCTAGTTGAATGGACTGACAGTTTATTGGCACTAACTGACTGGAGACAGCAGGGAATGTGGACGATGGTGTGCCTGTTAGAATTCAGCTTGTAGAGGGGTCCAGGTCACCATCCAGCATTGCTGTCTGGACACTGGCCTGTGTGAAGGCTGTGACTCTGTTCTCAGTCGGCAACAGACACCATCTCAGCTTATATGTAAAAGCGGCCCCCAAGCCTTTTCTTGGAACCTCCCCAGAAGAGGAATCACTGGCACAAGTGAACGTATAACCACAGCACAGCGGTTCCCCTTCCAACAACACGTGGGTCAGTGCTGAGGTAAGGTCATGTTGAAATACTGCTTTTCAGAAAGACAGAGGATGGATCCTTCTGTAAAAAGGTAACATTTGGCATTGCTCATTGCTGAGGACACTGCGCTCTGTGGAGGTATTTGTCTTGAAGGGACCACAACTGTTTGTGAAAATTTCCAAAGAAACAGACAGCAGTTTAACCGTGGGACCACAACATTTGGATTGTTGGGTCACCAATGTTCAAGAACGTGAGAGCAATAACATGCCATCTCAGGAACTCTGTCCCTCAGTGACATTATAATCCGATACCCCATTACTGCTAGGTGCTCCACTGTCTTTCCCTTTTTGCAAACTCCACTTGTTTCTACATGCCTTCTCTATCTAAAGCAAAACAGTCAGTGCAAAGTTCAATTTTCTAAACTCCTTCAGGTGCCTCAAGAAGCCCTACAAATGCAAATGTAAAACTTGAATGTGTTTTTTCCCCCCTCAAAATTACATGGCCTGTGTTACACCAAATTGCTACATCTAACCCACCCTAAGAGTACATTCTGGCTAAGGAGCAAGTAACCGCAGAAAGTCAGTGATACCTCGAACACAAGATTCCCCCAGTGGTGCAGAATACGCTCGGGCTGGTATTCTACTGGACCAGATCCATGATTTTTGCGCAGTTTCAGATTCAGCCTCAAAACTCCTCACTTGTTTAGCATTGCAAGCAGCAATGGTAAATCTTGTTTTTTGAAAATAAAAAGCAATTCTGTGCACGCACATGTGTGTGTGAGAGTGGGTGTGTGTGTTTGTGGGAGTGTGTGTGTGTGTGTTTGGTGGTTAATCACAGGCTCAGCACATCAGTGGCTATACAGCTCTTAATCTTCAACTGATGAGCTGAGACCCCATCATTAAACTCGTGCCTACTCAGTAATTATGGCATCGACCAGAACGTGAAGAATACTTGGCTTTTGTGTTGGAAGGGATTTGGACCTCGAGGTCACGTAAGAAAATCACTGGTAGGATACAAGATTGGATGCGCACTGTGTGTTTTGAGAGCAAGGTCGGAGGCTGGATTCATTCGACAGGTTGTAGGACCTGAACGGATCAGCTCTAAGCCCCAGCTGTCAGGACACCCTTCTGGATCAGATTAGCCTTCAGGCTCTTGAAGATCTGGAGCTGTTGGTCGACGCGCAGAGCCAGGAGCTGCTGCAGCAGTTTGCTCGGATTCGGGCCCCTAAAACGAAGAAGAGACAGTTCAATAAAGACCCCTTCCCTGCTTCAGAGATGTTGTTCGGGGGATACACGTGGGTGCAAACTCTCTTCTGTTTCTTGAAAACCGAGCTATGGGATGTTCTGTGTGCACCAGAAAGCCGGGGGGGGGGGGTTCACATCCAATCATCACCACTTTGGTCTGTGCTAGGACTGTCAATCCCATGACATCTCAAGCCTCTGGCCTGTCACATGAATCCCCAGTCATCTAATTTGGTCATTCAGTTATAGTTTGGTGGCTGTCTTTGAACAGCACAGACCCAATGGCCCGAAGGGCCCTTTTCTGTCCTGTACACCTCTATGACTCCAAGAGTGGGAGCACCAGCAACAGTAGTTTCACCACGGTAACTAGCAAAGGGAAAGTACATGCAGCGCATCCCGTGGTTTAACACAGGCTCGACACATACAATTCCCTCCTGTCCTCTCTGCTGGGCAAGGTTCAATGCAAGGAGTGGGGCACTGTACAATTGACTCTTGCGTTTAGCCAGGCATTCTGTGCAGTACTGCAGTAAATAATTGCTTGCATTTACATGAAGGCAGGAGAATGTCCCAAGGGGACACTGAGCTGACTAAAAGGAGATTCGGAGAGGGGACTGCATCTTAAAGGAGGGGAAATAGGTGCTGACTTTGAGGGTGAAGTGAGGGATGGATGTTTTGGGGACAGAATACTCAAGATTCGGACTGAGGGCACAGCCTCAGTCGTAGGAACCAAGTTGAAAAGGCCAGAGTTGGAGGAAGAGAGATTTCCTAAATTGTGGTCAGGCTGCAGGAAGTACAGAAATAGGCGTGGTTCAGAAATGAAGGCTTCCTTCTTGACCAGTGTGTCAACAACCACTTCGAGTGCTGCTCGGTCACAGTTCAGTCTCCTAGCACAATGCTTTCATAATGCACCTCCATCATGTTCCCTCAGAGGGTTTGACACTCATTGCCACAGGGAGCTGAGGGGGCAGAATCCTTGAGTATGTTTAAGGCGGAGATAGATACAGAGAGAGATTCAGAAAGTGCATGTAAGTAATGTTGGATCAGCCACGCTTCTATTGAATGGCAAGGCAGGCTCAAGAGGCCGAATGGCCTACTCCTGTTCCTGTTTCTTATGTTCCTATGTCAGTTTGAGTGTTGAGGTGTTTTATCTATGTTTGAGGTGTTATATAAACGCAGCTAACAGAGAATTAAATCATGCGTTTTGCTTTCAAATGGCTGAGTTCTTGAGGAAAGGTTATGCTCCTCTGAGTGTTTATGATCACTCTCAGGGGAGAGTTCTTACCTGATGAAACTGGCAATGTAGACATTCACGAATGTCGCCATTAGATACTGGCAATCAAAGCGATCCATTATCCCACCATGACCCGGTATGGTGTCAGCAAAGTCCTAGGAAATAAAATGGCCAGGAAGATCACAGCAAAGCCACACCAATCGGATCACTCGGGCACGCAGACACACCAATCGGATCGCTCAGACACGCAGTCATACCAATCGGATCGCTCAGACACGCAGTCACACCAATCGGATCACGCAGACACACCAATCGGATCGCTCAGATACGCAGTCATACCAATCGGATTGCTCAGACATGCAGACACACCAATCGGATCGCTTGGCCACACAGACACACCAATCGGATCGCTCGGGCACACAGACACACCAAT